CGGCGCGCAGGAGGGGCGCGGCCCCGGTCTAGGGCAGGGCGGCTTGCGCGGCCGGTTCCCCAGAACAAGGCCTGGGAAGTTAACGCAGCGTAACTCCGTCGTCGTTAAAACGCAGCTAGCAGACGTAAGAATTTTCAAGAGTAGCCCGTGGCCTGCGACGGCCGTGCCCCTGAGCACAGAAGCTTGGCAATCGCCATTTCCTTGCCGGGGAGTCGTTACTTAGACGAGGGCTTTGACAAACTGAGGCACGTCAGGAATCTAACCTTCAAATGAGCCTAAAAATGCTGCCGTTTCCAAACCTGTTGGGCAGACAATTTTTGGTTTAAATATCCTCCCAAAAGAGGCACAAAAAGACAGAGAAACCATTTTGTTCACCCTCGTGTTGCTATGGGTTCCTGTTTCCTCACAGCTGCAGTCATCTTCAGACCGTCATTTGCCCCTACCCTCAACAGCCAAATGCCCACCGTGACACAATGTGCATGTCCCTGCCCCTTTGCACGGTGAGAGTTCTGCAGGTCACGGTGGGAGGAAGATGCCATGCTGGCAACTCTTCTGCCAGCCATGGCACAATTGTTTCCATCAGGCTAGGCAACTCTTCCAGTTTAATAACTTCACGTGTTCCCGCCCAATTCTCATGAGAAATATGATGAGCACACACTTGTCCTTAATTTGTTTCTTTCATTCATAGAATCATAGAATGTCTGGGCTGGAAGGGACCTCCAAAGGTCAACTAGTCCAACCCCCCTGCAATAAGCAGGGACATCTCAAACCAGATCAAGCTACTCAAAGCTTCATCTAGCTTGATCTTGAATGTCCCCAGGGATGGGGCCTCCACCACCTGTCTGGACAACCTATTCCAGGGATCTATCACCTTCATACTGAAGAACTTTTTCCTAACGTCTAACCTAAATCTGCCCTTTTCTAGCTTAAAGCCATTACCCCTCATCCTGTCACCACAAACCTTTGTGAATAGTCCCTCCCCTGCTTTCTTGTAGGCCCCTTTCAGGTACTGGAAGATCGCTGTAAGGTCCCCCCAGAGCCTCCTCTTCTCCAGGCTGAACAGCCCCAACTCCCTCAGTGTGTCCTCACAGCAGAGCTGCTCCAGCCCTCCCAGCATTGCTGTGGCTCTCTGCTGAACACGTTCCAACAGCTCCACGTCCTTCTTGTTCTGGGGGCTCCAGAGCTGGACACAGACTCCAGGTGAGGTCTCCCCAGGGCAGAGCAGAGGGGCAGGATCACCTCTCTCCATCTGCTGCCCACGCTGCTTTGAATGCAGCCCAGGATTCGATTGGCCTTTTGGGCTGCTGCTGCGCACTGGTGGCTCACGTCCAGCTTCTCATTTACTGGTACCCCCAAGTCTTTCTCCAGTGGACTGCTTCCTGACATCTCCTCTCCCAGCCTGCGTTGGTAACGTCGGTTGCCAATTCACCTTCAGGCTACTTGCTGCTTTGCTGTAGGGCTGCAGCTGTGTCCTGACCTTCTGTCCCCCAGGGCAGAGAGGTCATCCCTGGCACAGAGCTCCCTTGCCAGCCTCTCTCCCACCTGATGCGGCCCTCTTTGTTTTTAAAGCTGTTTCAAGCATAGCAGGAGGAAAGGGAACCTCAAAAGACAGGTGTGGTGCCCTCAAATGCCAGGACAGAGGATAAACTGCATCTCACTTTTTTGCCTTCTAGTTGGTCGAGAGGTGCAGCAGTTACACCTGGAGAAGAGTCGACACCCCATGCCCGTGGTCGCAGGCACACATTGGGCTTGACCTTGGTTCTCTGACACCTGCTGCTCTGGCCCTGCTGCGCAGGGACGGGCATTTTATCTCAACTCTTCACAGGGCTAAGCATCACGCTTCACAATATGTACAGAAAATAGCATGCTCCGACCTTAAAAGAACAAATGACAACAGAAATTAACAGATTAGTAAACGTGACTAATATCTGTCAGCAGCACATGCTTCGCAAAGCTTCAGTCGTGGTATCAGCACATCAGACAAATGGAAAGCACTGGAGGTGAGAACATCCAGGAGGCAGAAGCGATCCGGCTTTTCTCACGGGGAGCTTGACAAGTCGGTGCAGTGTCACGCTGGACAGCAGATGTGGTTTTTTGTCACATAGTTACATGGAACAGAGCAACTTCATACATGGGTAGTGAATTTTATCATCCTTACATAAAGCTAAATAATTTTCCATTATCAGAATACCTTGGTCAAGTTAATGAAATGTTACGTTGCTGACAAAACCAGAACGGTTCTCTGGTCAGAGTGTGTACCCCAGGCAGAAACCAGAGTTCAGACAGGAATTCCTACATACAGACATCAAAACAATCTTCAAACACCTAGCACTGAATTTTGCAATGGTTTTCTTCCGTAGTCAGTTCTTAGCTGCCTGTGAGGGGACATTATTTTTCATTTAAATTTCCATTGTCTCCATTTATTTTTTTCCTATGCTCTTTGCTCTCAGTATCACCTTTCTCACATTGTATGTTACAGCACCACAGGGATCCCCTAGGTCATGTCTGTATGGTAGCGGTCATTTCCTTAGCGTAGTATGTCCTCACAAGTGAAACCATTTGTGTCTTGCTTTGGAGTAGGCTCCCTGAACCCCTGGCATTCCCCTGCTGCATCTGAGGTCTGAGCTTGCAGCCTGGGAGGTGCTTCCAGCCTACCGTTCACCGTAGCCACATCCTGCAGATTGTCCCTCTGACCCAAGACATTGGGCAGCCTCAGTGTCACCTACAGACTCACAGTACCTCACTTTGCATGGTACTTCTGCTCTGCTCACGGGGTAGTTGTGGTGACCCAGTCTTTGTTGAAAGTTATAAGCTGTCTCACAGACAGAGCTGGTCCCAAACACCCTCTGCCGTGGAGAGCGGCACCCTCACTGCTAGCCCTTAAAGGAAGTGCCTGATGCTGAGCACTCCACCCTCTAGTTCTAGCTGAATGAAAACATCCTTCCTAACCTCTTTGTCTCCCAGACACAGCCGTACCCTGCTTCTCACCTCACCCCACAGCCCTGGCAGCACACGGCCTTGGGACAACAAAGCCACGTAGGCTGCTTTTCAGTCAGCTCTCCTTCCATGAGGGGGGGGTACGCGAGGCACAGCATAAGCAGCTCCCCATGCCCCCCTTCCAGCTTTGCTGCTCTCCATCCTCTCACTTTTGGGAGAAGGGTTGCCCAGAGGGTGATATGTTGGGTGGGCACATGCAGGTCCACACAAAAGATTCTCAGGGCAGTGAGGAGACAGCGACAGCCTCAGGGCAGCAGGTCCCTGGCAAGTTGAGATCAGGAGGCTTCTGCTAAGATGCACAAGGAGTGGATGAAATCAAAGAGCGCTCACCAGAATAACTCTGCCACCCTTCTTCACTCACCTGAGTCCCACCAAATTCCTTTGGCAGTATGGAGGCTTTGGTGCAGCTGCCCTAGACAAGAGCAGGAGGGACACTGCACTCATCAAACCACCTTGGCTCCTCGCAGAGGAAAACCTTCCTGCCAAAATGCCAGCTGCAATGCCATCCTATCCTGCTGGCCCAGCCTGGGGCTTTCACATTGTCTATCTGCAGCTATGACATCACTGGACAAAACGCCCATTTGCCTGAGCAGAGGAAGTCTTAATTTTCCACCTTTATTATGCACAAGACAGTGCAGAAAGGTTCGCAATCAAGGAGCTTTGTGGTGTGTTGTACAGCAAACCAACCTCTGCTAGCCAGCACCCTTGCTTATGCTTGTGGAGCGGCCGCTGAGGCCACACTTTCCTGTGCACGCCCATGCATATCCCTCTGAGCCAAGGTGAGGGGTGAAGCAATGGGCAAAGGAGCAGAAGTCCACAGGTTGCTGGGGTTAAAGCAGCCGGGAGGTCACTGAGGCAGAGGGCAATGGTCATACAGACCAGACTCATCCATTTCATCTCAGGTGTCTTCAATGTCTTGCGCCACTCCACACAAGTGCCTGGATCTAGAGAGATGTCTGGAAAGGATCTCCCTCGGGGCAAAGCTTTCCAAAGTCTTTCAGACCACCTAGGATGGGGATGATGGGGATGGCTGTGGGCCAGAGCCCTGGAGGTTTCCAGGGAAGACCTATGGACATTCCAGATCTTCTCTCATACAGACCAAAGAAATGCAAGTTCTTCAAACTGTACTTTAAAAATCAGCATACAGGAGGGAAAAAAAAAAAAAAAAAAAAAAAAGAGAGATCTAGATGCTAATCTTTACATCAGTTAGGTCACTCTATGCCTGGAGATCATTTGCCTTGCAAATACTCTGTTGTTACATGCTGGGTCCCTCCCTACTCACTTAAATGATTAACTCCACCCCAAAAAAGAACTTTTGCTGAAACTGCTGGAGGAGAGGTGAATTCTACCCCTGAAACCATGGGTCCTGTCAGCTATTCGTCAGAGACCTATGACTTGGTGAGTGGGACCTGGCTGTGCTTGATAACAGGGAGAGCAGCTAGAGCTTGGGAGGGCCAAAAGACCTGGGTTCTATCTGTCTGTCTTCTCATCCTCCTGTTAGCAGAGAGAGAGGGCTTAAGTGATTTCTTACGTCGGTGCAATCAGCCCTTGCATCACTTAAGTCCGGACTTGACCGACAAGGGGACTGTAAGTGGACAGTGCAGCGCTTGCAGCCTGCAGCCACTGTGGCCCAAGGGTGCCAAGTGCCTTAGGGACAGCTGCCTAAATACCGGGCCCTCACGCGCAGGTGTTCTGGCAAGCGCGAAGCCTGAGCACCACCCGTGCATGGGGATAAAGACAGCGCTGGGCGCCCAGGTGCCAGGCGGCTCACCAGGAGAGTCATGTTGCTGCAGCCCCATCTCATGCTGCCAGCCCGTCCCAGTCTCTGTTCCCTGCTGTCCCACTCTCCGCATGGCCATTGACACAACGTGGGCTTAAAACACTCGTTCTGAGTTAGCCGCGTTTTGCACCAGTTTTCGGTGGTATAAAGGACTGTGCACGCAGTGGGCAAAGCCCTTGAAATCTTGCCTAGTTTATTTGCATGTCAGGAATATCCAAGCAAACGCAATGCTATCTCTGCACGCGTGAAAACCCTCGGCACAACCATACCCGCTCCTACCCCTGCTTGCTGGCTCCAAGAACATGCTGCCGTGGACTCTGCTGAAAAGGCAATGCAGTATATTTGCAAGAGGGGGATTTTTAAAAGGGGAAGATAAATTGCAAGTACTTCTGATAGGGAACGATGACACTGTGCATTCTGCCCCGTAAGTTCTCTCCCCTGCGTGTGCAAGTGAAAGACAGCAGCTGCACTTTTTAGAGTATGTTGCGCTATCCAAGGGGAAGTCCACAGCAGTGCTGTCGCTAGCCTGGTTTTCAAATGTTGCAGCTCAGAATTTATTTTTTAACGCAGTGTCTCTCTGCAGCAGACCTCAGTTTTGGTTAGCTTTTCTAAGAACCTAAACTAACACGGTGGCCATTCCTTTAGAACTTTTTGCAGAAGACATCTGCTGAAGTTCAATGGCAGTGCTAATGCCAGCCGAGAGGTTAAAACCAAACTCAAAACTTTCTTGTTTCTATGCTGGTTCATTCCTCCAGCTGAAGTCTCCATTGGAAATCTGTCTCACTACCAGAAAACCAGTGAAACTGAAGCGTGCCAGCCACCCACCTGCAGCATGTCACACGCTATTAACAAGCAGCTGCTTGTGGCAAAACTGCATCGCTTTTAACACAGGGTGATTAAGGAGCACTGGGATCTGTTACTGGTACACAATACTTTCCAGAAACTTAGCTTAGCAATTTTACCTCTGCTGTGAATTTTTTTAAGCTGTAAAGGAAACCTTGTCTGTGGAAGTAAACTTGGCTTTGGGACTGAGCACCGACAGTCAGGTGCAAGAACTGACTTTCCTCAGACTTCTCACAGTCAGGAGTTTGACACGCGTGTCCCACCTCTGTCTCCTGGGATGTTCCCAGGGTTTGGCTCCCTCTCTGGAACAGGTCACAGATCTCACACGAGCAATGCCACATTTGCTTTGGTGGTCCATGTGTTGCTTTACTTAGTGTTTGGTGCTCATAGCATCAACCTACCCACAGATATTTGCAAGAAAGGCTTCAACAGTGCCCTGTCAAAGCAACAACAAAAACTTTGCCCTGTGCACTCACCAGAGAGGATCGCTTGACCAACTGAGCAGATGTGGAAGGAAAACCAATGATAAGATTTGCACCAAAAGGGCATTTATCTTAGTCTTGCCCAGCAAATGCAGTGAGAGGCTCACCTAAACTTTGACACTGTACAGGACTGCTCAGCTCTGTAGCCTTGTGGAAAAGTAATGTGCCGAAAGCAATAACCCCATTTCTCTGTGGCAAGAAAGCTTTGCCCACTTAACCTTCCTCAACTTCAGACTAGAGAAACAAAATCATAGTTGCAGAAAACCTACCAAGATCCCCACCAGGTCCCCTGAGCTGCTGCAGGCCAGTTTTCGTTGTAACAGGACCAACACAACTCAAGAGCCATGAAGGCACCTGCTCTACAGGAACGTGGCATTTCCATGGGCTTTTTCTCTTAGTCATGTTTCCCTATTTCAGCACCCAGAGAGGGGCTGAGCAGCAGCTCTGTTGGTAACTTGCACCAATGTGGGTGATTGAAGGCTTTGGGAATGAAATGTATTTCTCTTGGTCTCAGCACAGGTTAGAAGGGAACAAGACACCTGGAAAATCTCTAAAGGTGCACAAGCTGCTTTTCTTCTGCAATCAAATATTTTGATTGCTACTTATTGTGGGGAACTGAGAAAAGCAGCTGACATGCAGAGACCAGAATATTTCTGAGATGTGGGTGAGAGTGGAAAAGGGATCCCTGAACAAAGAGCATCGAGGAGTGGGCTTCCCAGGCATGCACTTGACCGCCCAGTTACAGAAAAAGACACAACTTAATTGCTTACCCCCAAATCTGGCTGTAATTGTATTGCAGGAGACCTGTACAAAGGTCCCCCTGTGCACGCACCATTGACTTCTTCCAGATCAGGCAGCCACTCACTTCCAGTCCTAGAAATGGGAATCACAGCAGAGTCCCCAGAAGTCTTGGCTTATCACATACAGCGGATCTCCTGCAGATCTAGTCCCTGCCCTTCCTGTTTCAGCCTGGACTCTGACTTTTTATCCTCTTTTATTTGTCTCCAACTCATCTCTGTCTGCTCCCACCCACACTCTGTGCTCTGTTCAGAGGTGCATGAGAGGACGCCTCAGACACAGCTCAGCACACGCTTCCCCTGCCCGCAGTGAGTGGCTTACAGTAAGAGCCCTACCTGCCATCTTATCAGCAATCAGATGGTGTCCGATAGTGGCACAACCTCCGCACCTCCAGCTCCAAATGCAGGGTGATGCTGGAAACCGTTCAGCAGCCGAAGCCATTGAACACCGTGCAGGCTACCATCCGCTCTCATCAATGGCACTGGCACGGCTCCTGGCAGTGCTCCGACGCTCTGGCCCGCAAACCCAGCCATTTCCCATGATTTCCTTTTTCCCTTGGACGCTGGAACCTTCCAGCCTGTCCCCACTGAATTTTCCCACTCTGACACATATTCCCTTTGGAGTTTTCAGTGTGATCACCCATATGGCTCAAGCAGACTGGCTGGTCATTGTACCAAATAGCAAAGGTTTTCAGTCTTGGTTTTCTTGGGGGGGACATTCAATGAATCTGGCCTTGGCCAAGATGTCACGGGTTTCTGTGTGCATTGGTAACTCCTGACACAGGCTCTGGGTACAGACTAGGCAGGAAATATTTTCAGTCCCAGGGAGAAAACAAACTGGGAGGGATTTCTAAAGGCTTTTGTCTTTAACATTAATCTCTAGTATCATACACTAAATGGGAAAAAGAATTGTTCTTTGGCAATACGAATGCGTCTCACTAAAGGCTTGCAGCCACATCATTACATTAGGGGAATACAGTCTTACGCATTTGAGGTTTTGGGCAGGGAGAAGGACTCCCAGCCCTCAGGAGGACCCACTCTTACCCACTTGGGAGCAAGCACCGTGGTATCACAGCACAGCAGCAGCACCGCTTGGTGCAGAAAAGTGGGGAATGGGACAGTGGCAAGACCAAGAGTAACTTGGGTCAGATCAAAATCTGCCTGGCTCAACTCTCTTTCTGGCTGTAGCCAAAGGTAGAGGCCTGAGGAAGAGGGCAAGAGCTGGGCAAACCTATTCCATACTTCCTTCAAGGGCTCGTTCACCCTCCTGCTATCTGGCACTTGGGGACCGCCTTAGACAGCTGCCTGCTCTGCACATTCGGTAACGCTCTGTAGAATTCTTCCCCACCACCATGCCTGGGCTCCCCCAGAGCCGGGCAGATGGTTTCAGCAGCGCAGCAGTTCAAGACGAGCGCTGCCCCTGCAAAGTCACCTCTTTACCCCACAGTCACGTGCAGAGGCACCCGGCGCGTCACCCTGAGGAGCTGGCCCGGGAGCCAAGAAACAGAAATCACCCTTCTCTAGCTAGGCACAACACAAGATTTGATGCTGGTCGTGGTCATGGCTTTGCAGCATGTAGGGGGAGCAAAAAAAACCCAAATTAGCTCTAAAACTGTTCAAAGCAGGGCTAGTATTTTTAGGTGGGAACTTTGGCTGAGGAGGGAAGGAACAGCAGGTGCAAGCGGCTACAGCTGGCAGTGAAAGGTATGAAAGCAGCGAGCAGAGACTTCCGCTGTGGTTGACACCGAAGTCTCAGCGCTGGTCTCCAGAGAGCGTGTGGGTGGGGGAGCAGGTAACTGCTGCAGAGCTCTTCCCACTTGTCACTAACTTCTCAGCTTGCCACAGGCCTCTTGTGCCGCTCTCTTTTCACGCTTGTCTGCATCCGAGCCCTTTGCTTTTGCGAACGCCCAGCTTCTGCAAGGTGCCAAGGCAAGCCTGGCCGGAGCGTGCCCACTCTCTGGGTGGCTCATCCCGAGCATGACATCAGCTCCCCAGCACTTGGGACTTGACCACAGTCTCAGCCCAAAGAAAGGCTGCTCACCTGGCAAGGAGCTACAGTGGGCCAAGTGTGAACCACATCTGTGGTGGCTCTATCACACTTTCCTTACCAGGTATCAGCCCAAAGGCTGAGTGGTGTTTTCAGATTCCCTTTTCTGCTCGGACTGCAATTCATTCAGAACCACAGAGTTTACCAACAGAGCAGATTCCTCCCTCCAGCATCCATCCCCGTAGCTATGGCACAGCAGCACCTCAGAGGCCTTCCTCCAGCCGTGTGTGAGCACCCACCCCACACCTTTCTCTGAGCACATGGAAAGCAATCTCAAGCATGGCCACTGCAGTCCCCATCTCACCTTGCTTTGGCCCAAGCAGCTCCCAGGTCTCCAAGGAGAGGCAGAAGATGAAAGGATCAGTGCACATAACTTGAGGTACAGATGTGCCCTGTGCTGAATCTCACCACCTTTGCTCCTGACAGCAAACAGGACAGGGGCAGTCTGTGTCAGAAATAAGTGGGAAAATCAGGAAAGCTAGCAGAGGAGGATTCTCTGCTGTGTGAGGAGCCAAAAACCACCAGCAGGTAATTCAGCAAGAACCAGAGAATAAAAACGCTCATCTGTCTGGACACCAGAACGTCCCCAAAATACACCAGTTAAAGATTACAGAGTGAGCAGCCCTTGCTATCACAAATCAGGACAACCCTCTCCATATGCTGCTGTGCCTCCTGGCACCAGAAGGGCCTCGCAGTTCTCCCACTGCAGACAGGCAGGTGGGCTGTGGGATGGGGGAATGCTTAGCTGCAGGTCTGCCAGGTGCAGCTGAGGGACTGGGTTCTCATGTTCAGAAACTCCCGGTAACCAGACTCTCTCTGTTCCCCAGAGCCAGGTGGAGCTGAGCGGTTACTACGAAGCTGAGAACACCACCCCTTCTTTGGAGGGCTACTTTTGCTTCAACCCAGCCTCATCTGTGGTTGGCGACCAGAGAGACCCCTTCAGAAAGGTCTTCATGCCCCTCATCTATCTGCTAATGTTCGTGTTGGGGAGCATGGGCAATGCCCTCGTCCTAGTCATTTTAGAGAGGTTCAAGCGGTCTCGCACGACTACAGAAAACTTCCTTTTCCACCTCACCCTGGCCAACCTGGCACTGTTGCTCACCTTCCCCTTCAGCGTGGTGGAGAGCTTGGCTGGGTGGGTATTTGGGAAGTTCCTCTGCAAGCTCCTCAGTGCTGTCCACAAGATCAATTTCTACTGCAGTAGCATGCTGCTGGGGTGCATTGCAGTGGACCGCTACTTGGCCATTATCTACGCAATCCACACCTACCGCAAACGCAGAGCTCGCTCCATCCACCTCACCTGCACAGCTGTCTGGCTCTGCTCGCTGCTTTTGACCTTACCTGATCTCATCTTCATGGAAGTCTGGACTGACGACAGCAACCGCAGCATTTGCTATTTTCCGGAGGTCGGAATCGATGGCAACAATGCCTGGCTGGCAACCCGCTTCCTCTACCACACTGTGGGCTTCTTTGTGCCTCTGCTGGTCATGTGTTACTGCTACACGGCCGTGGTCCGGGCTCTGTGTCAGTCCCAGCGCCTGCAGCGGCAAAAAGCTGTCCGTGTGGCCATCCTCGTCACAGGGGTCTTCTTGCTCTGCTGGAGCCCATACCACATTGTCATCTTCCTGAACACTCTTACTAAGCTAGAAGCCTTCACCAAGAACTGCCTCTTGGAAGACCAGCTGGACACGGCCATCATGGTGACAGAGGCTATTGGCTTCACACACTGCTGCCTCAACCCCATCCTCTACGCCTTCATTGGAGTCAAGTTCCGTAATGACTTCTTCCGGATCCTGCAGGAGCTTGGCTGCATAAGCCAGGAGACCCTGCAGGACATCCTGGAAGTGGCGAGGAAGGGCAGAGGGATCGAGTCTGACAATACCACCTCTATCTCCACTTTCTAGCTGGGAAAGGCTGCCTGAAGGGCAGAACCGGCCTGGGGCTTGCCTTCCCAGTGGTGCACGTGTGGCCTCAGTCCTAAGTTTCACAAGCCTCCCCACCACTTCCTCAACTCCTCAGGAAACTGAGGTCTGATAGCCACCAAACACCCAAATTCCACCAGACACTTTCTGTGGCCCCTCTTAGTTCTCATACCTGTAGAAATCTGCCTGGTAAGCATGGGCTGTCTGATGGTCGCTCTGGCAGTGCTGGATGACCCTGAGCGGGTTGAACCTGAGGTTTCCGCATCTCCCTTGAAAGACTGACAACAGTGGTCCTGTGCACAGGGCCAGGCAAGAGACTGGGTGCCAGGGGCATGGAAAAAATGTGCAGCCAAGTAAACGTGGAGTGGTGTCAGCGAGTGAGGGCCGAGGACAAAAACTAAGCAGGTCGCCATATGTCACCAGCTCACATAGGTAGAGAAATACTCAAAGAAATCAGTGGGACTCATTTGCCACAGCAACTGGAATAAGAAATGGAGGTAGGAACTGTAGGGGGTGCAGAGCTTGCTCCAACAGCCTGGGCACTTAGGTGCCAGACGGTCTCTGGCTGCAACAGGACTCCTCCTGCTGCGTGACATCCCCCCACCAGCCATGACACATTGATCTTCCTGACTCGGCTTGTGCCAGGAGGTCCTGCCGCAGACTAAGATCTAACTGTCAGAAATTCCTTTCCTGACACCAGCCACATCCTTTCCTGCGCTTTTGATCCGTCTTACTGCTGTTAAGAGCTCCAGTGAGTGACGGCTGAACTGAATGTCTGACTACGCAAAAGCTTTCCTTTAAGGAAGAAAGCTAAAGAAATGTTTCTACGTTTCTGTCCTGAGACTGAGCAGAGGGGAGATGAACAACACAACTTTGCAAGGCTGAAGTTTTAACTTTTTTTTTTTTTTTAGCTAGTTGTACAGCCATACGTGAGCCCTGAGAGCAAGGAGACCCACTGCCCCCAGCTAAAGAAAAGAGCTCTTTTGCATAATTTCTGGGTTCTTTTTAGTGGGCTGAGAGGGAATGTAGCGTTTCGCTTTGCACAGCAACTTCTGATTTTTTCACTCCACCTGCATCTATGGGGCTTTCAGAGGTTTTGTGCATCCAGGTTTACACAGAACAAACCTAGGCACTGGTCTTGCCCTGAGCCACAAGTTCAGCACGAATCCAGCAGGACATACAGAGCATTGCTCCCTTAGGTTTCTCTTGCTAGCTAAGCAGCTCTGTGGCCTGAACCATACGTGAGCCATATGTACCAACTGGCCCATGAGTATGACCCTGATCACAAACACACTTTAAAATCTGCTCTTCCATTCATCTCGCTTTTAAAGTGAAGTCAGAATAGCA